CCTATTTTTTAAGCGATCCGGTCCGCTTTCACGATTTTCGAGTCTAACCGGGCGAGTCCGGTTCGACTCGGCGTTTTTTAAAACGTTGGATAAAACAATAAGCCTATATTTGCACTAAACCTCTCTCTAGGGGTGGCAATGGACCTGGATCTGGATCCGATAGATAGACCCCAACCAAGGTCTGGGTATGGGTCAAAAAATTGGACTTTTTGTGACAGGTCCATGTAGATTTGACCCAGACCCGACCCAAATGGTGTTGATATTTAAATAATATTTATTGCATAATATTTAAATAATATAATTATATATTTTTAGTTATAATAACTTATGAAATGTATTTAAGTATATTTAAATATATAGATTGGATCCGATCGGGTTCAGTTGGGCCGGGTTCGAGCCCCACATTATATTTTTCAGGTCTGGGTACAAGTCGACCCGTTGCCACCCCCTCCTCTCTCTCACACACATGTAAATCTCTCGTACATACAGATCGAGCTCTCTTTCTCTCACACCCACATGCAAATCTCCTCTCTCTCACACACACGCAAATCTCTCTCTCTCTCTCTCTCATATGCAAACCTCTCACTCTCTCTCACAGATATGCAAATGCAAATCTCTCTCTCTCGCTCACATGACACACTAGTGTCCACAAAGACGGGATTGGGCCTCTTGGTTAACTGGTTGGGAATTAAAGAAAAAAAATGGATATCAACAAAAGAAAATATACAAATAAATAAATGTGTAAGTTTGAGAAACGAAATTATGTAGCTCTTACATTGAATCAGGTTTGTTGAAGAAATGGGGAATTGGAGATGAGGAGAGCAAGGCAAACGCTAAAAAGAGCCCTGCCTCCGAGAAGATAACCAGGGTCTGTTTACAAATGGTGCAACAGCTCTGCATTTCCAACCATGTTAGACGAGTATGCACACTCTCCTCCCCCCCCCCCCCCCCAACTTGGGCTACTTGCATTGATATTTCCAATGAAGAGATAATTTAAAAACAAGCCGGGTTGGCTAATTCTATGGAACGGTCCAAAAATAAATAAATTATTATTATTATTTTGAAAAATAAAAATTAAGAAATTATAAGAATAAAATAGGTGAGAACTGGGCTATTGTGGTGATCTGGATCAGCCAATTCCTTAACAGACTCGCAGTTCTCTGACGAAACCAGATGAATCGAACAGATTCTCAGGTCCCACTGGCTATTGGATCGGTCCTCACCTATTTTGGGTCGAAACGTATGAATTTTGAAACATTGACTCGATCCATTGGGGAATGCTTTGTAAACTGAGTTTGGCTTGCAGGTGCGAACGGAAGTGAAAATTATAGAGAATTACCAATTACACACGGTGGCACGACAAGCTCAAGAGCTCCATGCAACATGGGTCGTTTTGGACGGGTAATACGAATACGCAGGCATGGATTATTTATTTTACATACTTCACCATGACTTTTATTGGAAAAGAATTTCAAATCCCATGCTACCGTTTGGGTTTCAAACGGTATTTTATCCCCTTCCCAACCGTCTAATTCCAATCCTTTCCATTTTGGGTCCAATCAAGGCAAGAAAACAAATAAGCTGCAATTCCGTAGTTAACCCGGCCTTGAGGCGAGTTACAGTGTTTTGAGATATTCAATGGTTTTATTTATGATCTAAAAGGGTTTCCACACCACGAGCCAACGTTAGATTTACAATAAAAAAGGCTGGGCCTGGGCCTGGGCCAGGCCCAACCCTGGTCCCTATGGGCCTGGCTTGGTCTGGACCAGGACGAGCAAAACCTAATAAAAAAAAAAGATATTAAAAATAATAAAAGAAATTAAATGAGCAGGCCAGGATTGAGCCGCCCATATCAAAGCCCTGACCATGTTCTTAAATTTTGGAAAGTATCCGATCATCATCATTTTAAACAAAATCATAAAATCCAAAAATAAGGAATTTGGTTAGTACTACATTTTTTAATATTATTTACATTATGATAAATATTAAAAAAAATTAATACTCACATTTATATTTTTCGATCTTTTTTGGAAAATTTTGAAAATACTCAAAGGCACCAATCAATTCTTTAAAATCCATTTTTTCATTAATTTTCAAATTCATTTGAATGTGTTTTGTTTTAATGTTTCTTTATATGTTTTTCGCACTTTAGTAGATTTTTTTGCATTTTTTTTTTATTTTTTTCAACAATTTTTTGGTTGCACGAGACTTGTCCAGTTAGAACGGTTGAATTGGCCGGTTCGCCGATTAAGCCAGTTAAACTGCTTCTGGCCCCATGTCTAGTTAACCATTCCGGTTTGATTTTATGAACACCGATTACTAGGACACCGCATGTATCTTATTGGGTAAGTGTTATCTATCGACACTTAAATATGGTCAACATGTAGAGACATTGAACTTTGCCTATTTTCTTTTGGGAAAGATTTCCATACTTCCCCGACAGCATAAAATATATATATTTTCCCTTTCATCCAATCCTCTAATTTAGATCAAGTGAGCTACGAACCACTTACTCTAGATCTGATGCCTCAGAGTATTTTATGTTTAGTTTGTTTTTTCAATTAACAATATGAATATGAATTTTGGTACGCGCTGTAACCTTAATGGGGCGCACTTAAATAAAATATTAAAATATATTTTTGATAAATATAATGTTCAAAACACCCCTAAAACTTTTAGGGGTATTTTAATTATTTTTTTATTGAAAATATTCTTTTATATTTTTTATAGGAGCGAGTTGAGAGGATTGGATGCCTAAATTTTGATGTCAAAATATTTTGTATATATAAATAACTAAAAATAAAATAGTATAGAAGGTGACATTGTGATTGGGGGCATCTAAGCCATTGGATGGTGAAGTATAAAAGTTTTATGCCGTAGGAAAAACATAGAAAGCCCTTTGCGTTTTTGGATAAAGAATTAAACACTCGACACACTTGTTGACACTTACATTAATGTCAGTATCCTTGTAACACTGCTCCAAACCTTAAACATATCCACTGAGTGGTCATCTAATTATATCAATAAATATAACAAAATTTATATCAATAAATATAACAAAACTTTACCCACTGCAGGCGCCTAAAGAACCAAGTAGAGAGCTGCCTCAAGTTGCTAAAATGCAGCATTGTTCTAGTTGAACAGTCCATGCCCAAGATCCTTAGGCTGAATATCAAGCATGTGGGTGAAGACATCACAGGAACTCCCACAATTGCAGAGATGGCATGTGATAGTGCATTTAAGAACTCCATGTACTGTGATTCTTCTATTATTGGAACTTCACCAAGCAGCTTGGGTTTAGAGAGCCCCACCACCAGCACAAACTCCTCCCCGAGCCCGAGCCCGAGCCCGAGCCCGAGCCCGGACCCATACGAAAGAGCCACTGCACCGACGAATCTTCGAGCTCCCAGAGCATTACCCAACAAGAGGGAGCTTCCAATGCAGATTAAAGATTCTAAAGGTGTTGTTGATGGTGCTACTTTTCCGCTGAGGAGTATCGGCAATCAGTCGCCATTAAGAGGTAAATAGATAGATAGATAGAGAGGTTAAAAACCTCCTTCTTTTTTTGTTATCTTATGTACTCTTTATTTTTGAATGAAGGTTCATGGTTAAAGTTCAAAAAAAAATAGAGAGATTTTCTTTTCCTTATTCCATGTCTCAATGGTGTCAGGCACAAGAAGTGGTAGATTCTCACCCAAGCCACCAAAGCCCCCATCTCCAGCTAGAAGGTCCACCGACTGCCGCCCCTCCCCGCACCCACCCACCGCACCTACCCGACCCATCCTCAAGCCCCACACCCCCTCTAAACCATCACTCCAATACACTACTTCTACTTCTCCACGGTTCTTTGAAAGGAGCCCAAGCCTAACGCAAGCAATCTCCCTTTCCATGCGTCGGCCCCCGGCATCCCCACCCCTTTGCTCTACTTGCAAGCACAGAGCCCCTACTTTCGGACAGCCTCCGAAGAGATTCTCCCATGCGGAGATGGAAGCTGCAACATGTGGATTCTCGACTGCCAATTTTTTAGCCGAGGGAGGATATGGACCAGTGTATAGAGGGGTGCTCCAAGATGGTCAAGTGGTGGCTGTGAAGCAGCACAGAAAGGCCAGTGCACAGGGAGCCTTTGAATTCTGCGCCGAGGTCGAGGTGCTAAGTTGTGCTCAGCACCGGAATTTGGTACTGCTTGTGGGATACTGCACTGAGAAGGAGTGGTTGTTGGTGTATGAATTTGCTTGCAATGGCTCCTTGGACCAGCATTTGTATGGTAGGTTCATATCTAACAAATAGTTTCCAAAAATTTGGTCATGAGGATAATCGCCATTCCATTAATTGGCTTGGTTTCTGATCATATCCGGTGATCTAATTAAAACCGGGGAAATTCATCAAAATCTCACAAGAGATGAACAATTTATCATTTCATACATATCTTTTGATTTAATTTTAAAAACCCAACAAAGAAATGCATGGTCTTGAGTTGAAATAGCTCCAAATAAAAATCTTGAATAGTTCATCTCTTATGGATATTTTGATAAATTTTCCTAATAGACCATATAACTACAGGGACACAGTATGCTTGCCCCTTTGTTTAATTATGTTGAAGTTGGATAAGGTGAATTAGAGCTGGTTTGGTTGAGTTTGTATATATGATTTTGAGCATAGGCAAGGAGAGGATGGCATGGGAGCACAGGCACAAGGTTGCAGTGGGAGTTGCAAGGGGTCTGAGGTATTTGCATGAAGACTGTCGCGTAGGGTGCATCGTGCACAGGGACCTGAGGCCCAACAACATCCTTCTTACTCATGATTTCGAGCCCATGGTAAAAAGCCCGTGTTACCCTTTTTATTTCACTTTCTTCTTCCTGTTTGTTCGTTTCTTAGCCATTGTCATTCACATTTGTTTTGTTTTTTTTGGGGTGAATCAGTGGGAATGACAGGTCCCTACCCATTTTTATTAAAATGTAAAATATGTTACAAGGATAATTCTTATACAACGTGGAAACGGAATACCACCTGTTAAAAAATCTGAAGGGAGGGCGAGCTCGCCACACAGTTGCTCCACTCCTAGACACTACTTTTTTGGCCAAGGAGTTTGCCGCCATATTCGTCACTCTGTAGGTGTGTAGGATCTGCCATTGATGATTTGCAAAAGATGTGAGTTTATATCTGCAATTCATCAGGACAGTACGCAGTTTCCATGGACTCCTGCACCGTTGATTCATAGAATCAACCAACAATTTAGAATCACTTGCTTCTAAGGAAATTAAGCCTAGTTAAATGCATGTTGCTGCTATACCAGTGACTATAGTCATTGATACATGCAGGGGAAAGGGGAAGGAAAAAGCTCGTAATCTGCCATTTGACATGTATTTTGTAGGTTGGGGACTTTGGTCTTGCCAGGTGGCAAGCAGATGGTCAAACAGCGGAAGAAACACGTGTGATCGGCACATTCGGGTAAGCATAAACTCTTGGGAGTGTTTGACGGGTGAAGCCTCCTCTTTTAAGAACTTCTGATGTCGGTTTCTACAGGGTAATATGGAAGTCGCGGCTTTTTCAAAAAAACAATGTAAACTTAGGTTGTCTTCGAAGTTGTGGAACGCCAAGGCTTTTCAAAGAGCGTGGAACTTCTTGTTTAACAACCCCTCAATAACAAACTTATACACTTTGGTTTCTCAACAGAGTCATAAGCAATTAGATATGAGGTGGTTGGGAGTATTTCATTGATTGAGTTCACAATCTAAAAAAAAAATTTCCTTTTTTTGGGTTTTATTCTCAATGAGTTGTCTGAAACTTCAGCTCCACTTTGCTGAAATTTTGACCTTTTTATTAATGGGCTGAATTTCGTTGAAATTATTGAAATTTTTGAACTCTCAGGTATCTAGCACCAGAGTATACAAAGACAGGACAAATTACAGAAAAAGCAGATGTGTACGCTTTTGGAGTGTTGTTGCTTGAACTTCTTACTGGCCAGAGAGCCATTGATTTGTCAAGGAAAGTTGGCCAGCAATACCTTCCAGATTGGGTAACATTCAAGCCCTAATTCTCTCATAAAATGATATAAGTGTACTTACTCTCCATACGTTGCCCTCATTTTTACATAGTAAGAACTGTTTTCCTTTTTTTTGAAGTGGTTTTGTGCGGAAACGTCCCCCATCCATGGTAGGAGTAAAGGTCAAGACATGACATTGTGGCACCCCGGTGGCCTGACCACCCAACATTGAGCTCATTCTTTCTAGAAACTTTATCCTTGTGGGAATAAAGTATGATAAGTCTGTTATACCTTTGTTACAAAAAAAACTGAAAAATTTAATCATAATTAAATGCACTCAAAATCTGAGAACATGTTCTTTTGAGTTTTGCGCAGGGAAACAAGATCACAACCATCAAATTTTACATCTGATGGCTCCAAGTGTTTGTGAACTTTGTATATTCGAAAATATGGTTGCAATTGAGTCAGTTTAGGGTGGTGTTCTATTGAATAGAAGTATTTAAACTTTCGTGCCCAGATTCAAGGCAATACGTTTGAGGCTAGGATCCTGACCAAGACTAGCCAAGCTCTACTAGACTCGGTGTCACCCCGGTGATTTAAGCTCTACTAGACTCGGTGTCACCTCAGTGATTTAGTTTGTGGGTCGAGACTTCTACATGAATCCAATTGGCTTTTTCTTGAAAAAGGAAAAAATATTTGGGTCTGGACTAGGTCTACCTAGACCCAAACCTAAACCTAACCCAATTAGGTCTAAGGCCGAGACCAAACCCAGCTGGGTCAAGATCTGCCTGATCCGGACTTGAATCTTTGGGTTCAGAACGTGGGTCTAGATAAGGAGCCAGTTCGGGCCAACAGGTCACCGGACTAGACCACCCTAAACAAAAGTAACAAAATGCCTTTTGACTTAAACTATGTCCCATGCTTAATGGTTAAAAACCCCAGTTTTTCACAAATTTATTAAAACATGACTACAAAACAACTCATTTTTACTATTGGAAATCTTAAACCATGATCTATATAAGTTGATAGATTTGTTTATATATGTAGGCTAGGCCTTTGCTAGTGAAGAGGAAATATGATGAGCTGATGGATCCAACCTTACAAGAAAGTTACTCACTCCAAGAAGCCCAATTCATGATGCAAGCAGCATGCTTATGCATCACCACAGATCCACAATCTAGGCCTCGAGTGTCCAAGGTTCTCTCTCTGCATAACACCAGCATCATTACTCTTCATTTTATCCATTTAGTGCCACATTAAATCTTCTTTTCTTTTCCTTGATAGAATCAAGAGCCTGGGACTCCATGGCCCTTCTTTACTTAATTGCAGTGTTCAAGGACACCGAGTCCACTCGAACTCCGCCAAATTACTTGGACACGCCCCTTGCTTAGCCGAGTTCCTAGGAAAACTTCGGTATTCGAAAATATATAAAAATCATAAAACTATATTAAATTGTGAAAACAATGTATAAGTATTTTATACGTAATTTGGGTTCTTTTGACTATGATTACTGAGTTTTCTTGTCGTCCACCATATTTTTATATTTTTCTCTTTTTTTGGATTCTTTTTAAATATCTCTATATATAAAGCATTTTTTCCTAAATCCATGTTTTATATATATTTTTAGCTCATTTGGATTTTTTACATTTTTTGTTTTTTTTTTTAACTTCTCCTACTTTTATTTTTTATTGGAAAAATTACATACATATCCGTTATAGTTTCCGTTATTACCACCGTGTCCGTTTTTTTCATGCCAAAATAGAAATTTAAAAAAAAAAGATAGATTTTACCCTTTTTCGGTTGTTCGACAACCGAATTTAAAATATTTTCTTGTTCAACAACCGAACTCAAAGTATTTTCTTCTTCAACAACCGAAAATACACCAATTTGGGTTCTTGAATAACCAAAAATTTAAAATTTTCTGCCTCTTTGAAGTCATGGTTATCCAATAAAATCAGGGGGAATAGCTAGTTTGAGCCCCTAAATTTAGGAGAAATCTCAGGGATTATGAACTTATCCAAAAAAATCGACCTTCGATGAAGGGGAGTGAGAGTTTAAAAAAATTACCTATGTAATGGAGAGAGAGAGATACAAAGAGGATACGCAGACCCACAAGAGAGAAAAAAATTTCGAATCGAAATTGGTGTATTTCTGGCAACCAAAAATGCTTTGAATTCGGTTGTTCAACAACCGAAAAAAGTAAAATGGTCATTTTTTAAAAAAAAAATTGTTTTGACATAAAAAAAACGGACACGGTGGTAATAACGGAAACTATTCGGTAGAGCCGTAACAATGAAAACTATAACGAATATGTATATAATTTTCTCTTTTTATTTTATTATTTTTAATTTTAAAAAAAAAAAATTGGAAGGCTTTCTAGGTCCTATACACTACTCAAAGAAGTCCGGTCGGACTCCTTGGTGTAACTCGGTTCAGGCCGAGGCTGATTCCTTGGCCCAAATGGAGTTTCCAAACTTTGCTTATTTGATTCCATGAAATTTTAATGTCCTCATTTCCACTGTGTTTTTGCAGCAATCATACATTTGGGAGCTATATCTTATTCACCCTTCTTATTCTTCTTTTAGGTCCTAAGGATTTTGGAAGGTGATGTGCCAAATGAAGTTCTCTCTCCATCTCATGGAACAAGTGATATTCTCTCTCCAGCCAAGGGGGAAACTATCTCAACCCCTGAAATAAAAGAGAGGAGGATCCAAAATAGGAGAAGGTGGAAAACAATTCCTAACCATGCAAGTGAAACTCTAAATCCAAATATAAGCAAGGATTCTCCTCTCTCTAGCATGGAAGGAGAATGTATGAATGAGAACAAAGATGTGATTTAAATAACCATGCTACACTTTAAACAGCTAATGGCACTTGTGTTGCATTAATTGAGGAATTATAAAAGAAATGTTGTTTGCACATATGTAATTTAATTGAAAATTAATTATTATTTTAATTGTTAATTTATTTTCTAATTTACTAAATGTTAATCATGTTGATGTTGAATGTTCAATGTAAACTATCAAGAGAATAAATAGAGAGGAATATATCTGTCTTGAAGAAATTATAGGATCGAAACCAACTTAAGTACACACTGCACAATGTGAAAAAGAGAAAACTGAATAAAAGAAAAAGTTTATATAAGGTTGCAACATTAAAATGTGGAGTTACAGATGCACCACAAAAATCCACCAGAAAAGGTTGTTAAAAACCCTCTAATTGATCATCTCGACATCGAAATGTAGAAATATGAGAAAAAAAAAGATTTTGAATCCCAGAAATAGAGCATCTCGCAACACATTATCTAGCCCGTACATTTTGAAGATTTCCTTATGTTTATAGATCTACTTGATTTTAAAAAAATTTGGAGTTTACAATTTTATAATTAGATATGAAAATATTTTTTCTGATAATCTTAAAAATAATTTACACCTAAATTACATGTTATGATAAAATTTGGAGGTGCGCCTTAATTGGATTGTTTACGGTTACAACCTTATAGAAACCACAGCCTTTTCAAGGGGTGGCAATTCTTCCACTAATCCAATAAGTATAGACAGTACAAGAGTTTGCAAGCTCCCTCTCACAAACCCGAAAACACAATTCTTTTCTCTCGAGAAAACCCACATAATAAATATGGAAAGCAGTTTTTTTTTGTCTTATTTTTGCTTTATCTCTCCAAGATAAACCATCTTAAAATTTAGAAAGAAGGACCCGGTTTCTATGCGGCCAAACCTACATATGTAGAAATACGGGCCTCTCAATAAACCTATTTTTGAGATGGATTTTAAGACTTAATTTTTAAGGACATGTAATCTCTATGATGGAGAACATGAATATAAAAAAATAATTAAATTTTAAAAATTAAAAAAGATAATTTTAGTCAAAAAACATTTGGACCGTTAGTTTCTATGGTTTTTATATGGAGATCCATCTTTAAAATGAATGCTTTACACTTTCTGGACCGCATATGTAGAAATGCAATGCACCCCGCATGAAACAATTTTTATAAAATGAAACCCAAAAAAATTCACATAAAGCACACACGATCCATCTTTTTGGTTATCCATTGGGAAAATATTTCTTCTATGCAAATTTATATACTTCTTCCCATGTCTATTGGTACTTCATCTCCCATTCGAATACGAATGTCTATGGAAGACTCCATAGAAAACAGAGTGTTTACTAAAGGGATTGCATAAAATGAGAGTACAAGAAGGTCATTGGATGTAAAATCTAACGTATTAAAATGCATCACTGTTTTAAAAAAAAAAAAATTTGGACTTTGTACTCGGGAACACATCACAACCCATCCGATTTCACAATGCAACACGTGACAATGACTATAAGCTTCTTGCATCAAAAATAAATGGCCTCATCATAATACATTTTCTTTAATAAATGACATAGATTAACATCTTAACATTTTTTAACTTGATTACATATAATCCCAATCCAATCAATTTGTGCCCAAAAATTCTTGTTACCAATCACCTACTAGCCTTGAACCTTGTCCTCAAAACCTGCAAAACCACCATACTATTTCAAAAGTCGGAACAGCCTGATGAACTAGCATTTTGGAAATCTAGTTTTGATTTTGCAATGGCGATTAATCAGATCAATTATGTGAGAGTCGATTAATAAAAACAACTAAAAAGTTTAAAAACAAAAATATAAAAGAGAATATAATTAGTGGGAACTAGATGATTTGGCTGATCCGGATTTGCCCAATTCCCAGATAGACTCACATAGTTCCCCAAAGGTGTCGAATGAATCCATCCTAGTTTGACTCCCAATTAAGACAACAAACTGAATTGGTAAGGACCGGTTCCCCAGTCTAGATGGGTAGGCGAATTTTAAATCATGGCCCACAAGTGTTTTAAAACCCGACGATCTTGATCTGGAATCGAAGATCTAGATCAAGAATCGACTGAGAGCAAACTGGTTCTAAGAGTCATCCCGACTCCCCTAATAAAATGCCCCTTCAATATTTTTTTCCTTTTTTAAGCTTATTTAATGTTTTTTTAGGTCCACTTAAACTCCTACCCCGAAAACCTCTATTTAATTTTTATTTTATTTTCGTATTTTGTAATGTTTTTCTAGATTGGCAATCCAAACTCATTGAGTTTATCGATCCAATGCTCCAAGACAAATACATGTGATAGACGATTGTCGATCCAGCAATCCATATTGATACATTGGGTAGACGATCCACCAACTGATTCCACTCACCCAAGGTGGACAATCCACCCCATGTATTCTTCCCCCGCAAACCCCCAACCAAATCACCGAAATACTTTTGATACCACAATATTAACCTCAATACTATTTATTTTTATACCCACCCCTTAAATAAAAGGTGATTTTTTAAAACCAAAATATTCCACAATTTTTAACCCATGTTTCTAAAATTTGATACTCAACATCTGCTGGTCCGGCACAAAAATGCGCGGACCAGCTTGTGCCGGACTGGATTTTGAAAAAACATGTCAGTCCAACACAAAATATGTCGAATCGGCTTCTAATATTTAAAATTTTAAATTATGTCGATCTAACAAAAAATGCGTTGCATTGGCTGGCTCGATCCGGCTTAGAGAGTAAAAATGGGAAATGTGGGTTAAAATGATAATACTTTGGTACAAAAAAATTGGAATTTATTTGCTTGGGGAGTAGATGTAAATATAAATAATGTTGGAGTTAATAATATAGTATCAAAAGTATTGAGGGATGGCATGCTTAAAAGGTCTAATTTGGCGTTGTATCTACCTTCAAATAGATCATCTTGCCCTAGACCACTATGTTTGTAAAAAAAGAAGGATTTCAAGACCCCAAAAAATGTATATTATTACACATTATCCGGAGACCGGTCATTTTGCCTTAAAAATAAGTGTTCACGGATTTGCAAGATATGAACTATTTTTTAACTTAAAATTTCATAATCGATATTGGAAATTGATTTTGAAGCAATTATAAATAGTTTTTATGCCCAAAATGCTTTTCAAGAGGTCTTGAGGTGATTTGTTTCGTTGTTTTTGGTAGTTCAGTAGCGGTACATGCTCCTAGCCATTTTTTAAATGGTCAATAGTCATCCAAGAGTATTACCTAATAATGGAAGCTGAACCTTAGCTACGACTCGTGGTGGTGCGGCCCCCATTCTCATAAAACCTAGGCCTTATAGTGTGTTTTAAAAAATGGAAAGGTGTTGCGTGAGTCAGTGAGCACAACAGCCCGCTAACCCACAAACGCCCATCATGAAAATGGGCGTAGTATAAACTAAAGTGTGCCCTCCATAGATTCTATATAGACAGTGCAACAAAAAAATACCAAAACACTATATTTTTAATTTTAAAATTTTATTTTTATTTCCATATTTATGATCACCTTGGCTAGATGATGAATCCATGAAAAAATAATTAAAAATCCATATCTAACATAGATTTTAGGGGGGGGGGCGCATGTCTACATACCAACTCCAAGAAACATCTTTTAAAAATTGAGAAAAAGATACTTACCTCTATATGAACTTTTCCCAAATTTAAAACTCAGATATGAAATCTCGGCCGTACTCATCTGCATTGGTAAAACGGCAGGTATAGCCATGGAACTTTGACTCGGAATTGCAGGTGGACTTTTGTCACCACCTGGATTTTCTCTCTCTAAAAAATCTCTCTCTCTAGAATTGCAGGTGGACATTTGATTGGCAGAGGGCCACCTCAAATCCTCCGTCACCGGTGAGCTCGAGTCCATCGCGAAAGTACCCAATTAAGAGGAACCCAACGGACAGAAACCCATCTCAGATTACACGAGATTCATGGAAGAAAACCCAGAGAAAAGGAAGAAGACCTGGCTCACTGTTGCTTTTTCCTTGGGTGTGGCTGCATCACTGTTATTTTTATTCCTGCTTTTCTTATTCCTCATGTGAGCTTTCATTTTTCTTATTTATGGCCTCTTTATCTCTCCCTTGTCGATTAGGGGCTGCCCATTTATAAAGATCTCCTTTTGATTGGGTTTGTAGGGTTAAAAATTCCAAAGAGGATCCCTATGATTCTCATGACCATGAAGCTGAAACTCCTTCAGGCCCTCGTGCAAATTCTCCTCCTAGAGGTTGGAATTCCTATGATTCGTTCTCATGGACGATTGATGAAGAACAGTTCCTTTCTAATGCTAGAGTTCTCTCCAATACCTTCTCCAAATTTGGGTATCAGGTGGGAAGAACACTCGCACACAAAAATTTCTTTGTAAGCAATTAGTATTATGAAATATGAAGTGAAACTGAACGATAATAAAGGGTTTTTATTGGTCCATAATTAGTTATATGACTAGAAATTTGAGGAATTGAGGGAATTTTCTTTGTGGGTAATTAGTCGTATGAAGTGAAAATGAGTTAATCTTTGTGGGTTTTACTTTGTGGGTAATTAATCCCATAGTTTACGTAGTGAAATCAAGAAATCAAGCTAATTCCTTTGTAATTTATGAAGCGAAATTGAGGAACTTTGGCTGGTTTTATGGAAACAATTCATAGCCAAAAAAGGAACGTGCAAAATTTGTGTTATTGAATAGTTGAATTGTTGAAATGAGGTTTTGAGAAACTTCAATTCAAAACCATTGAAAACAATCTCTTATCTATTTGTGCTTTGTTAAATTGTTTGCCTAAAAATTAATGAAATTTGGTGTTTTTTGGTGGAACCAGTATGCTGTGGTGGATTTCTTGTGGTATAGGAAAATGGTGGCCCACTCCTCAGTGTGGGCTTCTGGTTTGGATGTGATTGATGAATGGGGAAGGCCTATTCCAGATCCTGCTCGATGGCCATCTTCTCGTGGGGGCTATGGCTTTAAAAATGTGGCTTCTCAGATTCATCAGATGGGTCTCAAGTTTGGGATTCATGTTATGAGGGGGATCAGCACACAAGCCATCAATGCTAATACTCCAATCATGGACTCCAATGTCAGTTTTGTTGGTATTTTCAACTGTCATTATTTCTTTCTCCTGTTTGCATGGCTAATACCTTTTAGTCTATGATATACCCTCTTATTACCCTAATTATGTATGTTATCCTCTCTCTTTTATTTGTACAGTTGAGGTTTTTCAGTTTCTGGCAATAAAAAACCATTTTACATTTGCTTTTGTGTTTTCATGTTGTTCTAAAAAATAATTGTTATTTTTAGATTTTCATTCATTGTAATTTGAAAAGCTCTGATTAGCCTCGAACAAACCTTCCCAAACCTTTTCGCAGCAGCTGCAGACCAGTAAATCACAATATCTTAGTCCTGTGATGTGTCAGGTGGCCAGATGGTTGCCTCACAACTTTTTCACCAAAACCTCAATGACTTGGAAACCTTATACCTGCCCTCCATGCTATAATTTCTCCATTACCAGTTCATCCCTAGATATGGCCACGACAAACTCCTCTGGTGCCCTTCCCCAACCGGTTCTTTCTTAGTCTCCTTGTTTACTATGACTCACCCTACAAGGTTTGAACCTTGTCACCACCAATAGGGCATGGTGCACCTCTACTCCTCTCAACATTCAGGCTTTCAATTGGTTAGAATTTACCTAATAAGGTACTCACTCTAGACGTATCTAAAGATGGGGCTTTTAATTACCTAACCATTGCATCATGTGCCGAGAATATGAGGAGACCATTCCCCATCTATTCATCCATTATAAGGTGGCTTCCTGAATTTGTTCATCCTTCCTAAAGTTTTTTGAATTAATGTGGTCACCCCGACATCTGTCATATATTTGTTTTGATCCTATTTCTCAGTCGCATACACAACCTTGGTTATAATGGTTTGGCACCTATCTATACTCTGGGCCATTTGGCTAGATTGCAACAGGCACATGTTTGGCAACATCAAAAGTACCATGACCTCCAGCAAGGACCCCATCAAAAAAACAGTCATATTTTGTGTGCACCCCCATAGCAAGCTCAAGGCATCTCATCCATTGACCTGAAAAGTCAGTGGAAACATATCATATTGTCGTTACTGCAAAAACTAACAAGATCTTCCACCTGATCAGCGAATCATCAAAGTAAATTTCCACAGGAGCACGGTTGAAAATCCACGACCTTGCAGGAAAGGGGGGCATTTTCTGGAATAACATAGGACAAACCCTACTCACTTCTTCAGGCCCAGCAGGGAAAACGGATGTTGTGAACACAGAGACACAAGCCTTCCTGGCTGGGCTGCCAATGTTGTATTAATCTTGTGGCTGCAATTTATTGATAGGACCCTTCCCAAATGTTATCACTTGGGTCACAGGGACCTCCCTCTCTTGAGATTGGAAACATGTGCCACTAAAATCTCCAAATCTGCAGCTACCTACTATTATCTTTTAGACATTATTGGAGAGAAGCAAATGCCATTGCAGACCCCCTTGTGAGACCTGCTATGCTCATCAGTTGTGCTCAAACGCCACAGCCTATCTGTGGGCAACTTTTGCCTTAGTGGCCCTCCCATTTTTTTACAGACATACACGTACACACCACAATTGTCTTTTTTTCATTCACACATTCAATTTTTCTACATCCTCACATTATTAATGCAAAGGTCAAGTTGCAGGAAATGCAAAGAGTAGCGTGCTAAAAGCCAGCCGGCTGATAGGGGAAGGAGAATCAACTAGTTTAGTTCTTATCTGAGTAGTTTACCCCCAAAAAAAGCTCGCGTTGATAAATTACAGAAATTCATCTGAAGGAGCACATCAAGAAGGAAAATTGGCTATCAGTAATATGGATGACATAACTTATTAAAGAGATTGCAGATTCTGGTTTGGACTTTTTAAATACAGGTAGTATTTATATCTATTAGATGCAAAATGGAATCTGTAGTAGCTGTAGGATTAGCCTCCGAGCAATCACTTTTGTTTCCCTTGGATCTTCAGAGAGAGTGAATTCAACACTCGAGCCTCAAATCTCGGCTCTAGTACCGTAAAGTTCCTAGAATTTCTTTCTTCCTAGTTTTCTTGGTCTTTTAGAATATGCTTGGGATTTGTCTTCAAGCAATTCTTACATTTGTCTTTGTTCTTCAGGGTAGAGAGGGGTTCAAAGTATCAAACATTTAATCCATAAAGGGCTCTCTCCATTCCTCTGCAGATGTGAATTATACCCTTGACCCCAATGCCTGGTTCTAGTATCATTAAGCATCTGGCTTCCTAGTTGTGTAGGATCTCTTTTTCTTTTGTTGATCTCTAAATTTTCTATGTTCAATACACTCTCTTCCCCTGCAGTACACTTTTGGTTATTCTTCCATCTATATAAATACACTCCTTGGAAACATCTAGAACATCTCAAAGTCGAGCTATTTTTATTTTTCTTCAGCATTTTCATCATTTTTATTCTCATTTCTATAACTTGGCTTTGGCAGAATTCATAGCCTACTCATTTTTCTAATGCCAAATCGAATGATATGTTAATGTTAGCCATTTCCTTCAAGTGGCATGAAAATTTATTTTGTAATAGAATGCTGTCCTTTACTGTTATGAGTTAATTACCACGACAGTTCTTCATGTTCTTCCCTGAGCATTACCTGCCTTACCTCCACCTTTATGCTGTTTTCTAGATATTTTCCTGTCTATTTTTTGTTTAGTGTAAGGGGTACAAGCCACTATCCTCCAGTTTTCTTCTTTCCTTTTTCCTTTTGAGTTAAAATTTTTTTGTATTGTCGTTGCTGCATGTTGGGGAAAAATCCTTCTTCACCCTTTTCCTTCATTTTATTCATAGAATTTAAAAAAAACATCCCAAGAGATGAAATATTTAACATCTCACCCAAGGCACATATTAAATGTCACAAATTCCTTCGAAGGACACTAAATGTGATTCAAATTTCTAGGAGGGGCACTTGTCAGTTTTTCCCCACCTTCCAAAGTTAGGGTCTTTTTAGAAAACCTATGGAATTTACTTTCATAAAAGATAAATATGCTCCTGTGGCAGCAAATGTACATATGCTCCAGAATTTGTAGGTTTTTTCCTAAATTTTGGGGACGTGGCCTACTCAACCTAGCTACCAAGTCAGAAAAGAAAAAAAACTTCAACATGTACTCTGCAAAAAATCACGCCCTAGAATTGCACGAATCTAGGTGTTTAGGTACTCAGATATATGTTCTTTTTTAAGGGAAATTTATCAAAAAGCACTCAAGATGGGGAGAAACTTCCTCATAATCACCCAATCTTAGGCTGTGATTTTTTCATGGAGTTTCAAAGTACGAGTTGTTCTTCTCTTTTCTAGGTTGATCACCAGATTGAGAATGTCATGTCCCCAAAATTTTGATATGCAAATAATATTCCTTGCTGGGGTTTTATGTGAGGGAGCATATGTACATTTTGTTCCTACAAAAGCATACTAATTTTTTCATATTATAAAGTGTCAAAGCATCTGCAGAGCAAGTGTTTAACTTGGAAACTAACTTTGGGTAGAGAAGCAAGATTGCAAAATGCTGTCCTAGAAATTGTACTCATGATTGGTGTCCTTTGATGGAATGTGTTAAATTTAATATGGGCCTTATGAATTTAAATCTAAAAAAGTGGGTCAAATGTTAAATAGTTCGTCTCTTGGGTGCTTTTTGATAAATTTGCCTTTTAAACAATTTGATTGTAGCATCATATTCTAAGGATAAGTTCGCTTGTAATATCTTCTATGAATTAAAAAATGTATCTTTGAGACTAGAACTTTCTTATTGTGGCTTGTTACTTGATGATCTTTCAGGGGGAAGCCTATCGTTCAGGTGGAAGAATTTGGCGTGCCCGTGACATAGCTCTGACCAAGAAACCATGCGGATGGATGCCAGCCTGTTTCACTAGCATTGATACAAGCTCAGGAGCTGGATTGGCATTTCTTCAATCCCTTTATCAGTTGTATGATGAATGGGGCGTTGATTTTGGTGCTCTCTCTCTCTCTCTCTCTCTCTCTCTCTCTCTCTCACACACACACACACACACACTGAGATAGACATGCTTGCACACACATGTACACGTTACTCATAAAGCAATGTCATGATGCTTCTATAGATCCTTGAATGCTTGCAGTGAAGCATGATTGTGTCTTTGGTGATGATTTCAATGAGGACGAGATAAAAGCTATCTCTGAGGTTATTTATTTGTTGGCATCTTACACTTTTTAATACCATGGTCTTTCTATGTTGGTGTTTCTTACCTGCATGTCCTTTGCAGATTTTGAAAGAGAAAGATCGCCCTATTGTGTATTCCATATCACCGGGAACTCATGTTACACCAGCAATGGCAGAGAAAGTGAAGGACTTTGTGAACATGTATAGGGTTACTGGTGATGATTGGGACACATGGAGCGATTTTTCTACACACTTTGATGTGGCAAGGTGAGTATTAAGTTCTGATGAAAAGTTGTAGCTCTATTTTATTTTTAAATGGGAAATTTATCGAAATACCCATGAGAGATGTGCTCTTTAATGTTTTACACATTTGCCACTAGTCCAACTCATGATCCTATTTTTCTTTTATGGGTATTTTGAAATTATATTAAACTACATGGGTAAAATGTTAAATAGTTCATCTCTTATAGGTTATTTGATAAATTTCCCATTTCTCAACACAACCCTATATTTTGGGATACAAGTCTCATTTTTTCTTTATTGGCTTTGATCTTCTGTGAACGTGATTCATACATCCGTACTGATATGTAGTATCGGTTGCTTGTTGTCTTGATGAGAAATTGTTGCTTTTGAAATCGTACTTCTTCTTTATTGTGATTGATATTCAATTGCATATAGAGATTTTGCACAAGGTGGCTTCATAGGAAGTAGAGGACTAGAAGGTACGTCATGGCCGGATTTGGATATGCTTCCTTTTGGTTGGCTAACAGATCCTAGTAAGTAATTTAAGTTGGTGCTTAATTTATTTTGAAAACCACTATTATGCAATCATTCTAGGCTTGCCTAGTCTCATGTTTTCAATTCTTTCAGATTCTAACCAAGGGCCACATCGGAATTCTAGTCTGACAGTTGATGAGCAAAAGGCACAGGTTTGTTGTAATGCAAGACTTCTTGTTCATGTGCGGTTGAAATTCTCAAGGTTATTTCATTTTATCTAATCCATGCATTTACGGGAGGTATGCCAGTGCGCAGAGAGAGAGAGAGAGAGTGTGTGTTCATTTCTCGGCCTTATGCAAAACTAATTATCAAGGTAATGTTGTACAAGTTGTCATGTATCAAATATGCATAAATGATAGAGAATGGAAATTGTTTTTGATATCTGATTTAAAACATTTCACTTTTCTCAATGTTTAAGGAGAAGAGGAAAGACTTCCACATGATCTTTATTGATTTAGAGAAAGCATACGATAGGGTATCTAGAAAGTTAATTTGGTGGGTGTTGGAAAAGAAAGGAGTCTCTAGAGGATATATTAACATGGTGAGAGATATGTCCGAGGGAGCACTAGCTAGTGTGAAGACAAGTAGTGGAGAGAAAAGTGAGCTTCTAATGACAGTAGCCTGCACCAAGGGTTAATATTGAGCCCAGTATCTCTTTGTTTTGGTTATGGACGTAACTAGGCATCTACAAGATGAGGTACCATGTTGTATGTTGTTTGTGACGACATAGCTTTGATTGATGAAACTAGAGAACGTGTCTATGCAAAGTTAGAACTTTGGAGGGATTCTCTACAATTTAAAGACTTTAAAATTAGCCGGACTAAGATATAATATATGGAATACAAGTTTAGTAATAATAGGAGTAGAAATGAGGAATTAGTTGATATCAATGGCCAAAAAATACCTAAAAGAGATTATTTTCGATATCTTAGGTCGATAATCTATGAGAATGAGGAGATTGAGGAAGATGCCATGCCATAAACTTATGGATGGGTGGACGAAGGGGAGATGTGCTTCCAAAGTCTTACATGATCGTCGCATACTAATGAAACTGAACGAGAAGTTCTATAAGACAGCTGTATGACCAGTCATGCTTTATGGGATGAAATATTAGGCGATCAAGAAATAACATATCCATAGAATGAGTCTCGTTGAGATGAGGATAGTGAGATAGATGAGTGGTAAGACAAGAAGGGATAGAATTCAGAATCAACACATTAGAGGGAACTTAGGGGTGGCTCCAATAGACGATAAGATAAGGGAAAGTAGACGTTTAGTGGTCTTGTCATATGCAATGTCGACCTAAAATAGCACCAATTAGTATGGCAATTTACTTCAAGTAGAAGGCTCTAATAGGGCAAGAGGAAGGCCCAAAAGGATATAGATAAAAATAGTTAGAACAAATATGGTAATTTATTGCCCGATTGAAGATATGACCCTTAATAGAGTGGATTGGCAGAATAGTTGGGATAAGGGTCAAATGATGATGATGATGGTGAATAGATACTGATCCAGTTCTTCGAGATCTCTAACCTTGCATGATTATGAAAAGGCATGTCTAACATAATAACACCTTTGAAGTGTGGGTCATGGATTCAAGATTGAAACTTAGCAGCAAATTCTCGTTTATAGTATCTAGCTTCTTGTCCCGGAACCCTTTTGTGGCTCTCTTCTCCCAAAATTCTTTCTCAAATACATCTTTCTAAAGTCCTGTTATTATCGCTTGTCCTTTTTCCTGAAGCCTATTCCCTTCATTCATAGGATTCCGGATGGGCTCTATTTAGGCTTTTTAGTTAGAAACTCATCACTCCGACCAAATTAGGACACTTTTTTTTTTCTTTTTCTTTTCTTCCTGAAATGAACCCTTGATCATTCCCAAGCCTAAATGGGAATCCAGCTGATGCTTGACACACACCAAACTTGTGGGAAGAAAACCTATGCCGCTCCATAAAGGTATGTAGTTTAGCTTATACAATATGTCCTGGGTACTTGTATAACATAATTTCTTTACAAATACAATATTGAATTCTTTCAATTCTGGTTGAGATATGAAAGTAATTAATCGCATTTTATGTAATGATTTAAATAAAGAAACTAAAGATCAGCATACACTGTCCCCAGCTGAAAATAGCCATCAAATGGGCATCATAGCAAAAGTGATTGTTAGATAATTGAGACCTTCCTAAATGAGTGCTTTGTAAATCCTCTTCTTTTGTTGCTTCAAGAATTAATATTCACATGACTGTTGGGATCATCATGTTTTTATTTGATTTTATTTCTAGTTCATGGAATCATCTCTCTCTCTCTCTCTCTCTCTCTCTCTCCCACACACACACACACGCATGCACGTGCACACACAAATCAGTCTAGACTTAACCCATACAGACCCTGTATTCTTTACACTGCAACACACTTGCTATTCCTTATTCGTTCCTATCTTGTGTTTTCCATTGTTCTTGGGGCTGAATTTGTGAAGCAAAATATGGCTTTCTATCTGATTAGGCCTGCTCTTAAACCAAATGTCAAGATACTTTATATAGGGTGAGAATGCATGCATTATGCTCAGGTAAGCGAGACCTGTAATTCTTTCCTTCCTCTTGCAGATGACATTGTGGGCCATGGCAAAATCTCCATTATTTCTTGGAGGTGACCTCAGGAATTTGGATTCTACCACTTTGTACATAACAACAAATGCTGCCATCCTTGAGATCCATAATACAAGCTCCCATAACAGAGAGGTAAAATATCCATCATATAAGCAGGAGGGGTAACATATCTTCATGTGGTATGAGATCTCAAATGCATAGTTCATAGCAGTGTTCAAAACCACTACTCGGGCCGAATACTCTCCCCATGCCAAAGCCGAGTACTGGGCCAAGTAGGGCTGAGTTCTGTAGCAGCAAAAAAATGTTAAAAAAGTAAAAAAAAGTAGCGACAAAAAAAATAAATTTTGAAAAATCAGTTTGCGACGGGTTTTTATGAATTTTATCAAAAAGATGGAAAACTGTAAAATAAGTATTCTTATTTGCAAAAATGACAGAAAACAAAAAAAAAAATTAGTACAAATAGATTTCTTATTTTTTGGGATTTTTTATAATGTTTTTTAATTTTTTTAGTATCCTTGAGTTGGACCCCCAACTTGGGAGAACTCAGGCTTGGCCACTGCCCAAGCCCGAGTAACTCAGCTGAACTGACTCGGCCGATTTGTCATAAACTGGTTCATAGTTCTTATAGAAAGAGAGGGAGTAGATTTATCTCTCATCCTTAAGAGAGAGAGGGGGGGAGGTGCTTGTGTATTCATATTGTACTATTACACGGTCTTTTGCTTAATGCCATTCTTTGTTTGTGTGAGAGTCTTGCTATGATGCCTCTTCATTTTCTGTTTGGTTTTCATTTTCTGTTCAAGCATGTTGTGTGAATCGAGAGAGAGAGAGAGAGACTGTTGGTCCAAGCTCTGCTATAATCCTGTGTGATCGTTTCCTATGTTATTATTTCTTCACAACAGCTGAGCAACATCCAAATTAAAGACCTCCGAATATGGGGTGCTAATGGAACAACAGGTAGAAACATCAGCTCTTTAATTTTTTTTTATCTCGTGGAAACATCAATACAGTAGTTTTTTCATATTACCCATCATCAAAGCTTAATATTTGTGTTCTGATTATTGACGAACTTGTAAAACCACCTTCCACCAAACCTATTTCTACCTCATCAACAATAAACGAATATTTGAAAATATCAACAACAAACCACCTTCCACCAAACCTATCACCACCACATCAACAATAAACCAATATTTGACCGTATCAATTTGTTGTTAGGTGTTATACTTATCTTATAAATGTATATAAATACATCAATGGATATACCACTCCTCTCATCTTGAAAACGTGAGAGAGAGTTTCAAAGTTTCTTACTCTATCTCTTTATCCATATCTCTTTCTCTTTATCCATCTCTTTCTCTCTCTCTTGATGATTCATTAGTAGCTCATACCATTAGCTCCAATGTGTCTGAGGTTTCTTACTCCATCTCTTTATCCATACCTCTTTCTCTCTCTTGATGATTTATTGGTAGCTCATACCATTAGCTCCAATGTGTCCGAGGTTTCTTACTCCATCTCTTTATCCATATCTCTTTTTCTCTCTCTTGATGATTCATTGGTAGCTCATACCATTAACTCCAAGGTGTCCGAGGATCGAAAAGAGATAGTGAGAGATATAGATAGAGAGATGAAGTAAGATACTTTGAAACTCTCTCTCACGTTTTCAAGATGAGAGGAGTGGTATATCCATTTATATATTTATATACATTTACTAGATAAGTATAATACTTAACAAATTGATAGGGTCAAAGAGTGGTTTGTTGTTAATGAGGTGGAGATAGGTTTGGTCAAAGGTAATTTTACAAGTTCGTTAATACTGATTCCTTCTTTACCTTGCAATCTCTCAGGTGAAGTATACATTGCAGTCTTCAATCTTGGTTCAAGTGAAAAGCTTGTAACAGTAAAGTTCGAGGATGTTATTAGAGACTTCATTCATCAGGAGTTGAGAGGTGGAGGTGGTGAAGAGATATGTACAGGTTTTGACATTTGGGAACGCAAAGAACTCGGAGAGATAAATGACACACTGAGTTTCAGCATTACGAAACATGGGTGTGTAGCGCTTGTGTTGAAATGCACTCCAGAGGCAGCTGAGCGCCCAATCTGAGTTTTGTCATGTAGTTAGATTCAACTCTGTGTGTGCGTGTGATTTATTCGTGTAACTGTGAATATATCAAGTAAAAAAGCAAAATAATAGTTATGTGGGGCATTTGTAGCACTCAAATGGGAGAACCATCTTTCCAGTCATATATGCTACTGTATTTCATTCAGGCAAATTCTATGGTTCATTGCATGGTTGTGGGTGGTGTGAGCAAGTCAAATTATCGAGCAAAAAAAATTAATTAATTACTAAAGGTTAAATGGTTATTTTATCGAGCTGATTAGACTCTAATTTGAGATGATGACTCTCTCTCTCACACGTTCCCCCCCCCCCCCCCAACCTCCCCCACCAAAAAAAAAGAAAAAGAAAATACACACACACTAAAGGATGCAATTAGTGTTTTTAAAATCAGAATCAGGGTCCCACTTGGCTCTTGGAAAACCAAGTCGAAATCGAGTTGAGTTATTCAGATTGGAACCCCCCTAAGTCGAAAACACAGATGCTGCACTGACTATAAAAGAGAGAACAAACCATTTCTGAACATTGCTGAAAATTCTTATTTCGGAAAAAAATTAATTGATTTTCTTAAACAATATTTCCAAATTCCAATGGGTTGTAGATCCTTTCAAAAAATCAGATATCCCTTAATGACTTTTTTAAGATCTCTGCGAGGAACCTGTTTACATTGTCTGGAGAAAATTTTAGTAAGTCTTTATCTTGGCATTATCGTTTTAAATGATGTCATCATCGAGTAATCTCAGAAATGGTTTTTGTTTTTGAATTATCTTTCTTGCAGAGGTCTTCCACCATACAAGGAATTCTAGTTTTTTTTCTCTTATTCCAATCCTGCATTTTATCCTTGGTCACACCCTACTTTTGGGGAATTGAATTAGTATAATTTTAGAGTTTAGAGAAGGGAAGGTAGGCATTAGGAATTGATCTTGTAGATGTATGAGAAATAATGTAATCAAAAATTTTCGAAGAGAGGTTAAAAGTATGCAAAAAACGAATTTGAAGGTCGAACAAAGTGGAAAAAAGGCCAAAGTATAGGAAAATTGCCTAATTTCTAAAATAATTGCCTTGCAAATAGCAAATTAGGCAATTTTCACTTCAGTGAAGGGTGGCAATAGACCCGACTAGACCCGGGACCCAAGGGATAAACCCGACCTCGGGTCCGGATATGAGTTTGTCTGGCTTGGCCTTAAAACAATTAGGACCTAGGCCACAAAATATACCCTGAGAACCAGGCTAATCACGGGATTAAAAAAGCATCACAATTGGAGTCAGAGGCTACTTCGAATTATTGGATGCAACAAGTAATTCCTGTGTGAAAGTTTAAAGAGTAATTTACACGTATATATCTCTTTCAATTACCGTCGAAAAAAATGAAATTCAAATATTACCTTCGTAGTTTGTACCCAAAATTTTTTTTTTTTTCCTCAATTCGAATCTTTAAAATCAGTAGTTTTATATGGAAGTTTTCTAGCAAGCAGATATCTGTAAGTAAAGAAAGCTTCGGATTTGTTTAGTCTAATGAAATTTAGAGAACTTCCAATTTTCAAAATCCGAAGCGTGAGGCCATACTTACTGAGCTTTTTTATCTTGAAAATCCAAAATTTGGATATTGAAAGTCTGAAGTTTATATCTAAAGTATTTTTAAGCCTTATAATCACTAAGAGGTCCAACTATTTTATTACAAGCGTAAAGCTTCGGATTTTAAAGACCCAAAATCGGAGCATTATCATCATCTTAAAAAGTAAAAAATAAAAAATTGGGTATGAACAATAAACAAAAAAAATAAAAAATTCAAAATTTCTTAAAAAGTGAGTGTATAAGGTACCCACCTTATAAGTTAGGCATGCTTCTTGATTTTGTCGGTCATTCTGGTGTTAGGAAATTTTGTAGTGGCATGAAATTCTTTTTTCAAATTTGATTATGAAATTTAAAATTTTAAAAATGTACAAATTGAACAGATCTATAAATACTTGAAAGTCTTAAAAATAAATAGACCTAATAACTTATTACAATATGTCTTTCTAAGAACTCAAAATTATGTTTTTCTTTATATCAATTCAAGATGATTAATTGGAAGGTGTTTTAACCTCATGACACTCTTTTTTACTACTTCTATGACATGAGATTATATAGGCTTTTTCCTTGAAAAATATAAAAAATTAGGTATGGACATCATAACACAAGAAATTAGAGCCGAGGCTCTAAACAATCAAAGTACATCGTATTTTCAATTAGTATTGAGAATGTTGTTTTACTATTGGAAATTTTTGTGATAGTTTTAAAATATATTTTTATATTTAATTATAAAATTTAAAGCTTCAAAAATAGTGTAGATAAAGCATATCTATGAAAATCTTGAAAATTGACGGTCCAAAATGCATTGCATGGTGCAACATTTTCATAACTTTAAATTATTATTTTTTTCCATGTCCATGAATATTGACGTCAATTTGATCAATTTGAAGATATTTGGCCATCAAAATAACCTCTTCTAGGGAAATTTTTAACAAGTTGATCAATTTGAAGATATTTGAGCATCAAAATAACCTCTTCTAGTGAAATTTTAAATTTTTAATGTGGGTTTTAATTTGATTGTTGAGAGCCTCCACTATGTATAAACTTTCCCTTTCTTAAATAACGATCTTAAAAGAGTATATGCCTCCGCTATGTATAAACTTCCCCTTTCTTAAATAACGATCTTAAAAGAGTATATGGACATAAAATACCTTAAAGCACACGTTCATAAATACACCAGTGGTGTATGCAAATACTACACAATAACCTGTATGCAAGCTTTTCCGTAATATATAAGCTCTCCATGGATCTCAAAGCGCACAAATTCAGTGCAGAAGCTCCTCAGCGATTCACAGGAAGAGAGAGAGTCAATAAGGACATGGAATCGTGGTTTCGGAGGGCCAAAACACTCGCTGGTGACGCAGCAAAGATATCTGGTAACATTGTTACAGAAACCACCAAGAAAACAAAGCAATTGGTTTCCAATGTCTCCATTAAACCAAACCTCCTCAAGACAGAAACCATAACAGAAACCCATGGCATCAAATCTTCTTCTCCAACAAAATCCACCTCTTCTTCCTCCAATTCCTCTGAAGATAGGTTGAAATTTGGAGTCACTGATGAATTAATAGTGTTTGTTAAAGGTTTCACTATAGAAACCTTCAAGGATTTCAGGCTCCAAGGTATGATTCCCTCCCTGTTTTGCTTCTTCAGGTTTTTTTTTTCTTTGAAACTCAATGTTTGGGGTGAATGTGTTCTCATTTCAGAGTTTGGATTAAAGAACTTATGTGATTGGGGAAAATGTGTTTTAGCTGATGAAGGGAGGCCTTCGAATGATCCGGCAGTGGGGAATGTGCGCCAGGATCTCACAGAATGGCAAGAGAAACATGCCATGATAATTCTTTCATCAGTTAAGGTATTGCCCTTTTCTACATATTCTGTTATTTATTTCTATAAAATGGAGAAAATTGTTTGGTTCTGAATATTTTGAATAAATTATCTATGGGTTCTATCTATCTAATATGTGCTTTCTTTGAGTTCCTTGTGGAAATTTGATGAGCTTAGCGTGCAGAAATATGTTTACTTGATGGGGCCTATGCTATGCTGTTTTGTTAATATGTGAAGATTGGGAACTGCTTTGTGATTTGATACTATCAAGCATGATTACACAAGATTGCACTGATGGGGAACTTGGGTTTTGTTCCATTGAAGTTTATGAGTTTTTCTCGGTGCATGATGTGTAAAATTGTTCAATTCTGTTCCTTACGGTTTCCCTAGCTTGGTTTCTAATGTATTTCACTTCCCACTATGATTTCAAATCAGAAAGCTTTTCAACCTTCGCTTGAAACATTTTGAATTGGGAAAGATGCATGGAATTTATACGGGTTTCTTATGAGATACTGAGGACTCCATATAACTATCAAATAATGTTACATCGGAGCTTCTACTATGAACCTGAAACAGAGCTGGTCCCTAACATTAGAATTGTCTAAATTCAGAAAGAAATGGGGGATATCGTTTTGGCAATTGGAAAATGGGAGCTCTGTATCTCTATATTGGCTGTTCTTGATCACTCACAAGAAGATTAACATAAGAAGGTTTTTCTTATAATTGATATTCTTTGTTTAAGTTTAATGGTTGTAAAGTTCATAAACAGTGTCAGGATCCTAAGGTGGAACATAATCCTGATTCTGGAGACCCAAATTAGTCCTAATTGCAGCCAAAGTCGTCAACCTTTCCGCCACCATGTTACCTTTGCTTGGATCTGGAGTGCTAAAACATAATTCTAAAATTACACAAAAGATCCTTGATTGTAATCAATTTTCTTTCAATTCTTTGTGTAACTATGGAGATGTGCCTCTGAGCCATCTAATGATTGTGAGCCTTTCAGACCCTTCGATTAGTGTACAAAACTACAAATCCATTTCAAAGCTGAAGCTGCATGGGTATGAGCTTATATAGCATTATTAAGTTCCAAAGCTACTGCATAGTACTTGGGAGAACACTCTGCAGCTCTGGTGATTCTGTTATCCCATGGAGCTCAGATTGCTTTATGGATGCAACATTGAATTTCAGCACAATAATGGTTTTTATCCATGGATTTCATTTCATATATTGAGTGTTGCAGTACCCAGTTAATTATTGCAAAATATTGCTGAATTATGTTTCCATGTGGCCGTAGTTGTGCTTGCCATCACGTGATTCCTCTGGTCATGAACGACATGCAGCTTTCCTCACCTTTAATTTGTAGTGGCACCTGAGAAATGTTCTTGAGACAATTAGTTATGGAAAAATGGAGTAACATAATCCCAGAAGCGTAGATGATCTGCTTCAGTTACCATTAAGACACCTTCATTAGTAGCAGCATTTTTGGTAACTAGTTCCTGAATTGATTGAGAAAGCCAAGACAAAGTGATTGATTAACCATTATCTCTCATAACTCTCCTCCACCTGCTAGCCACGGATTTCCTTGATTGATATGATCTACACCTGGTTTCCACCATTTGAAATGAGCAATCTAGAATAGAATTTGGTAATTTAACTCATCGAAATAGAATACGAGACTGACCTCCATTACAGACCATATTATACTGATAAGAATAGATACTACATTTGATCTTAGCCAAAACACTGAGAAACTTATGAGGCCTACAGACCATTTGTTCACCATTGGTGCTATATTTTATGAAAACAATAACATTATTTGGTTTTTCTTGCCCCTCTCTCATAGAATATTCAGCTACTAAGAGTTGTGAACCATTTGTTTGTCATCAATGAAATTTTTTGTGAAAATTATTAACGTACATGGAGAAAATTGTTGATTTCTGAAAGAAAATATCAGAGTTTATGGTATGGAATTGAGTCTTTTGACATTCACACTATAGTTGAAAAGGAAGATTGTGACAGGATCTTAGTCTGTTGACTTTTATTGGATGAGAAGGAAATGAGGAAATTGCAGTTAATGAATTTTGTGATGAATTTCGAGTTTAATGTATCACTAACAATGATCGAAAACTCAGTAATTCATGACTAGTAAAAGATATTTTATACTATAAGACCATTTACATTTGGTTCAAGGTCACAAACATCGCACCCATTAGATGAGAAATCTGACAACTTAGAGTTGTCGAGAAATCTGACAACTTAGAGTTGTCGCAAAATTTGAGAAACAATTGTTTGGACACCTTAAGCTAGTCAAAAGTACACCCTCAGCTGCTTGATTTCGCATCTAATGGCTTAGGACTATTGTGACCTCCTTGTACCAAAAATAAATGCTTACTTTCCTATTGTAAAACGAATGTCAAAAGATTTGTTAAAAAGACATAGTAAGAATATGGTTAATATTGTCAACCTTTTTAGTAAAAGAAAAAAAGAAAATGACTGTCACGATCCTCATAATTTAATTATATGATTTGGACTTCCTTTCCATTGTGTATTTTCATTTGTTGAAAGCTGATATACATCCAGAAACCAGTTCACCAGAGGGTGATTAGTATATTTTCAAGGAGAAGTATATAACGAGACCATTTACCTTTGGTACAAGGTGTTCACAATCAATCTTGACCATTGTCTATTGGATATGAAATTGGGTGGCTGCATTGATTTCATTGACCAAGCTCAAAGTTCAAAAAAAGTTCAAAAGAAATTTACTTTGTAACTCACCCAAGCTATCGGATTTCACATCGAACGGTTGTAAATAATTGTGACCCCCTGTACAAAAGGTAAATGATCTCATTGTATACAATCCCTATTTTCAAATGTTCTGTAAGACGTGGTTTTTAGGGAGCATTATATAATGAGAAATCACTGTGGACCAAATAAATATGATCCTCGCAAAGGTTTGAAGGAAATATAAGCTTTTTCATTTGCATTACACCTTTTTTTCCGATTATTTTTGCATAACACATATTAATAGGGACTGGAATTCCCATTCTTGATATAACCAGTATAATAGCTGAAATCTTCAAGTTACAATCCATATCACTTTTTCTATACATACTACCAAGTCTAGACTGGCCCAGCTCTGGAGTTCTGAATTTCAGACTTTGGGAAACAGAGTTGTCTCAGGCGAGTCCCAGTGCGGCCAGTCGAGTTCCTCAACCATAATTCTCTGATGCGACTGTATGTCCTCAACCATATGTCCCTATTTGGTAATTCAAACTATAGAAACTAGTCATTACACGTCACATGAGCCCCAGTTTCCTAGCACTAGTTTTGATCACGGCCTAATGAGTTATGGATCGAGCGCCTAGGTGTCACATCAGCTGAGGTGCGACGCCTGCCTTGGACCAGGCCTGCTAGGAGGGCTCATCAGCCTGGGGAAGCGCTTAGGCACCCTCCCCACCTTCGCCTAGGCGTGATAAAACCTCTTTTTTCTTTTACACTGGGTACCAGAATTCATGGTGCCTTGTTTTGATTTATGTTTTCCTTCTCTTGTGCCATGTGACTTCTGATGTCTCATGAGGATCAAGCTGTTCATAAGTACATTCCATTAAAATTGCATTCCTTGTGAGTTAGCTTATTTAGTTTGTGGATACAGCTTATTATAACCGATGAAACTTTTCTTTGATTTTCTAAACATGTATTGCTTTTGCGTGGTTGAATTGCTTAAATGTAGGCATTAGTTTATCTATTTACTCCATATGATGTCTCGGAAACTTTTCTGGAGAGAAGCTTGAATTTCTGATGATGTGGTTGCAGGAGATTTCACACCTTAGATATGTTCTTTGTCCACGACATATGAAGGACGGACAATTCTGGGGAATATACTTTATGCTTGTCAAAATTTATGTGTCTCCGTAAGTGCCACACTTCTCACTTTTGAAACATGGGACATTGATTGAAGAATCATAGGTCAGGATAAAAGACAACAAATTGTAACTGATAGAAATTATGTTGGAAGATGAATTTCAACAAGGTTATAGATTTTAAAATTTCCCTTTGATCTTTGTACTAATTCATATTTATCATGAATTCAGAGAAGTTGGTTGTTAATGCTTATGTATCCTTGTGCTTGAATTATGAACTAACACTTTTAATCTTTTTCTTTTTTTCCTCCTTTCTTTTACCAATCATCACCATCATCATAGCCTTGTCTCAATTAATTGGGGTCGGCTACACGAATACTGGTCCGTCATTCTATTATATTTAAGGTCATGCCCTCAGTGAGGCCATAAATCCCCATATCTTTTTAGACTACTTCCAACCACGTCATTTTGGGCCTACTTTCAATCCTTCCACTTGAACTAACTCGCACCTCTTAACAGGTGTTATACTGGGTCGAAGCCACACCTAAACTTTCCTGAATGGAAAGTTTTACCAATAAACAGAATATTTGGGCTTGTTTTGCTAATAATATCCATGGTTCCTGTTTCTAAGTGGAACAATGCCTAAGACTTTCAAGTATCAACTATCTAAAAAGAATAAATACCCAACACACATGAATCAGGGGAATTGTCCTTATTTTCTATAGAACAATTGTTTGCTGTGCCGCATTTGTACAATATGCGGTCCAGAGGTATAAAAGCATCCATCTTATCCAAATGTTTTCTTAATATAATTATGATTTCTAGTTTTCAAATTTATTTATTTATTCATATTCATGATCTCCATGTTAAAGATTATATATTCTCCAAAAATTAGGATCAAATTATATTTCAAAATATATTTATTGTGCCAGGCCCGCATTTCTACATGTGCGGGCTTGGCTGCATGCTAACCGCGTCCTTTTCTATATCCAGTCCATAGTTTGAAATTGACCATACCTTTTTGTTTTCTTTGTACAGCATGTTAGGAAGAATCCTTATATGATTTTACGAAAAATAAAATGTTCTTGAGGTTCATTATAGCGACTGGAAGATTCAAGTTTGTATGGCTTTACTGAATCAATAATCTGATAATAATCTGTGTTTTTTTCTCTTGTTATTCTCTGTTTAAATGTGTCTCTCAGATATGAGTTACGTGCTGTGCGAGAGTCAAAGCTCAGGCAAATGGCACAGGAGTCTGCGAATCCAACAAAGCAAGCAGCCTATGAGGTAGAAATGACAGAGGCAAACCCAGCAAAACATATATCAGAACAAGATTTAGATGCATTCCTTTTGGGAGACCTCAGAAGCTCTGATGGAGAACATGGTATCATCCATTTCTCCATTTATTCTTTAAATTCTTCCCGGTTTTCCTTTCCCCTAAATATAAATATAAAAATAAAAAACAAAAAATCAGTGTTCTAACTTGAAACTATCATCTTGCCAATACTCACAGCCTTTCATTTATTTCCATATCTGGTACCAATTTTCACTTACACTGAAAAGATGAATAGAAAACCTGTGGACTACATCTGGTAAATGGTTTGCTTTGTTTTTCTTGTCCCAGATGAAAGGCATGTTGATCTAGATGAGGATCTAATAAAACCATGAGCTAGAAATTCTTTCATCACTGGAGATGTACCATGTTCCTGTAGCTTGATTGAGCCCTTCATGTTGCAACATTTGAGGCTGTTGGTTTAAACAAACATTCACACATTCCAACAAAAAGGAGAAGGAACAAATTTGGAGACAACAATCTCTACTTCTTTTCCATGCATGCATGGATTTATGAATGGGCAAATGGTTGAGAGTTGGAATGGAAGTTTCATGAGCTAAGGGTCCTTGTGACATGCACCCATGTACTGTCCGATTCAGTGTGTTGAGAGAGAAAAGTATTGTTGCTGACTAAAGACTCAGGAGCAACCAAAGAAACCTCGAAGCTATAACACCACCAAACTGCTAAAGAAATCTCGAAGCTATAACTCGAAATCGTAAAGGTTAGTCAATTATTCTTGCAAGTGGATGGAGATGCACCGGGTCCACATGCAATTATATGCATGAGGGCATGGTTGTGGTGCTGAGGTTTGAATGTGTATATGTACCAGGCACATTCATGTGTGCATGCATCCTAGTACTGGTGCTATGGTGGAATAATGAATTCAGTTGGTATGATTGTATGAATACTATTTCCATTGTATTTATGAATTCAACAGGCTCCTTTTTTTTCTTCTTTGGAAATAGATGTTTGTAAATGAATTTAGGACCATAAAATTCCTCCTTTTTTCTGTCCCTCGTTTAGCATGTGGATCGATATGACTTTTCAATCATGAACAATATGATGTTAATGGTCTCGATCTGGTGCACACTATAATATGGAATTTTTTCCATAATTTTTTTTTCTTCTAACAAACTAATAATTGAATTTGATTGATTCGAGCACAAAAGAAGGGGAACATTGCACCCTATGGATGCTTTTTATTAGCAATTTTGCTCATTTACTAATATTAGCAATTTTGCTCATTTACTTTCATGCGTGTGAATGTTTGGTTTTCTTGCGTAGATGTTAATGCTTTATGACGGGTTGGTCTCCGGCAAGTGTTAGGTCCAAAAACTAAATTGTCAGGAACCATGGCTTGTAATTAATGCATTTGTTGGTTTAGTTCAACATAAAAAATAATTTGATTAAAAAATATGAAAATTAATATTTGACTAGTCAAATGATGTTTGGTAATTTTTTAATAATATATTTTTTATTTTTAAATTAGGGAATTTTTTAATAATATTTTTTTATTTTTAAACCATTTTTATTATATTTTTGTTTTAAAAAATGCCAGCCACTTAATTAAGCCTGTAGTTAAAACCTATTCTGACTAGACATAAAACTAACTAGCATGGTAAGCCAATCCAATATTGTCAACGTTGGCTGATCTTTTTTTCGAGTGTTTGTGTACTTTCAAACCCATCCACTCTCCAATTGTAGTTTTTTTTTTTTAAAAACTATTAGACTATTTATTTTTATTATAAAGTCACTATTACTTTTGTAGCCATTAAATGTCAAATTTGATAGTTTGGGATCAATGATATTTTTACAGATTTGAAATCTGGTGGATAAAAGTAATTGTGGTCTCTTTGTATAGAGTAAATAGTTTTTTTATATACTTTTTTTTCGCTTTTTTTAAATATTTATTTGAAACCTTGAAAGCAGTATTATTTAAGATGGTGTATATACCCAAAGAGGTTTAGTAAGGAAACTCTCTCTCTCTATGTGTGTGTGTGCAAGAGTAATATAAAGAACTCAAATTTGCATAGTGCGACCGGTAACTAACATAAAGAACTTAAATTTGCATAGTGTGGTTGATAACTAACATTAATGTAATATACATACAAAAAGGTTAAATGTAACATACATTTAACCTTTTGTTATGGTTTATGATGGGATCAATGGTGGTGAAAGTACAGCAAGGGTATTCACATTAATAGCTATTGTGTATCCAAAATCACATAAATCATCAATGGAAACATTATGGCATCGTTACTATAAGAAGGAATGAAAAATACAACAACAACGCATCAAATACCACAAAGATTTAAGTTGATTCGGCCTCCAATCGTGACTTATATCTACGGGAAAATAGTGCGAAGGATTTAATTACAAGTTTGGGAAGATTACAAGGTGAATTCAAGACTCAAAACTTCATATTATGGCAGCCTTTTATCATTCTAAAAAGGGCCTAAAACCAGGTGCCAAGAACACCCAAAAATGAATTCTCCTTGACACTTTCCCTCAGTAAAATAGGACCTGCAATAGGGCTCCTAAAACACCCACTAAGTACTCGTCTTCTCTCAATTTCTCTTACTAGAAAATATGACAAATACAGTTGCCTACAAAATCCTCGAACATGACCTTTTCACTTCTTTCTTTTTTTTCTCTCTCTAAAAGATAATGAGACAAATCCTTTTAAAGAGCAAAGTTCTTACAACATCAGAACTCTTGAATTAGTTTTAGCTTAAAACAAGAGACGAAGAAGTAAAAATAAAATAAAAAACCACATGTGCGATTAAAATAAAAAACCACATGTGCGATTTGTATTCACACATACATAAACGTTTCTTTCTCTCTTTTGTTGAACATACGCATGAAATGTCTCTTTTTACAACTACCAATATGTTTCATTAAAGGAAAATTGTTTCATTTGGGCTGGACCCCATTTTTGCATATGCGGTCCAGAGGTATAACGCATCAATCTTAAAGATGGATGCAAATAGATGATCCATCTAAAAACAATTGAAACTAACGATCCGAATGTTTTCATAATAGAATTACTATTTTTAATTTTCAAATTTTATTTATTTTTTCGTATTCATGATTTTCATGTTAGAGCTTACATGAATTTTATGGAGTCAAGAAGAGGCTGGGCAAGTTCAAGCCTTTGGTAGGTCAGCTAGGCAAATAGTTAAGGGACAATGGAAAGTACAAATGAACTAATTACGTGTTTGGAAGGACCCACTACCTATATCGTCGTCAAATTTCTTTGAGGGATGATGATTCTCTAGGTCATACTATAATAATTTCATGACCAAATGGATTGAATTTATGGGACTCATTTGAGAACATATTTGAGTGTATATGCATACATGTTGTGTTTCAAAAACTAGATCCCATCGAACCGGTGACCGGCCGATCTGATCCAGTGAATCGACCAGTTCAGGTCCGGTTCATCAAGGAATAATAGTTAGAAACTGAAAAAACAAATACAAAAATAATTCGTAAACATAGGAAAGGTCTAAAATGATTAATATTCAAGATAACTACCTAATAAATTTAAAATGGAAAATCATCAGAGAAGGAAAATTATTAAACTATTCAGTTAACAAACGAAAGTAAAAAGGGGTTGTTGTTTTGCACTTCTTTATTTCTTTATTTATTTATTTATTTATTTATTTATTTATAATGCACCATGTAGATGTGTTAACAAAAGATCACAATTCCTAACAAAATATTTTAATTAGAGAGAGAAAGGAATATATATGAATGGGAGAGAGAGAAAGAATATTTTAATAAGAGAGAAAAGAATAGAGATGAATGTGAGTGAGAAGGGGGGGGAATGGAGATGAACATGGGACTAAGAGAGAGAAGTAGAGGTGGGGGTTAAGAGAGAGAGAGAGAGAGGTAAGATTGCAATGAATGTGACTTTAGGGACGTGTGCCATTCATTGCCTAGTGGTGTGGAGCTTGAATTCAAGTTTCAATTTTACATTGCTCTTAATTTTGTCTTTTTGAGTATTGAACTCGACAGATGATATTGGAGATGGCCACAATAAATGAGCCAATGGCTCATGCTTCCACTTTGGTTTCATGGGGTTTTAGGACATACAAATTCATTTATATTTGGATCCAGGAATTTGAAGTTCTAAAATAGTAGAAATTTGAAGGTGATGAGGGATTAAAATAAATGGCCGAAAATAAGATGAACTATTTTTAAAATTTTAAAATTGATATATTTTTGTATTCATGATCATGGTGGTTGAGATAATAGACACATGATTCTGGATTCTCAATCTACCTCCAAGATAGATTTTAGAACGTAGATGGCTAAAATAGGTGTGTACTAAAACGTTATCCATTTAGAAAATGTGAAATCCATGTCGAATATTCATGTCCGAATAAATATTTGAAAAATAATATTTCAATCCTAATAACTTTTTATTATTGGGAATTATGGCTTAGTCAAGTTGTGAAACTGGCCTTGTTTGCCTTGGCCACCAAATGTGTTCAATTCTAATTTTAGCACAGTAGTCGAGGAACTAATCCGCGATATTTTCATTTATAAGCTCCTAAATTCCTTTCTCCTCGAAAGACAAGATAAAAATGTGTCTTTTATTACTTTCCATAAATTATTTTTATATTATTTTGATTGTGCTTGATTGAGAAATACGGTCACCCCAAAAAATTTAAAATTGAAAAATTAAATATTATTTTAGCCACTTATTTTTTATATTTTAACCTAACCCGTTGGATGAGTACTTTTATCCTTATGCATTATGCTTTCCTTTATATGACCTTTATACATAAACCTCAGGCCCAGAGGCCCTGTCTACTTTTATTCTTAAACATATCATGTCACCCACTTATAATCAATATTACATTCATTTATATGACAAAAAACAAAATGTACCTTAAAGCTTACATACCTTTTTCTCACAAGCCAAAGTTGGGGCTGAGAGAGAAACAAAGGGAAACCTTGAATCTAGACCCCCATATCTTAAGGGGGTCCATTCTTAAATGTGACCTACTAAGAACCCATTGTTGCAACTCCCCTAATTGAAACTAAGTGACCCACCAATTGGAACTGGCCCTTAATTGCCATAAATAAACTAGGTTTATGTGTGTATAAATTGGTTTAGCCCCTGACATTCATATTTATGTTAGTAAATTAGTTATATGTTTCCTTTGGGGTAAGATTAATACCATATTGTGACTAAGCTAGTTCAATCCCAAAAAAATATCTTAGTTGCCCCAATTCTTTTATCTGAATATATTGTTGCAAATAATTCTTCAACTTCTGAATTCCTTCATGATCACTGGAACCAGAGTTGGCCTGACCTGGAGTAGGGTAAATCTCCATACGGCCCTACAAGTTGGGTTAACCTAATGGGTCTAGAACAGGTGGTGGACTCGGTATCCGAGTCAGTGCAGACTGCGGACATGGCTTTCTGAACCTAGGATGCAACAAAGCAAGCAATAGAAAATAATTTGAAACGAAAACCCCATAACTTTAAGGGGTCTATTCTTGAATGTGACCCGCTAACAACCCATTATTGCAACTCCCCTAATTGAAACTAAGTAACCCACCAATTAGAACCGGCCCTTAATTGCCATAAATAAACTACCTGCCTTAAAGTTTTGCATATGTAGTTTTGTATATGGTTTTTCAAGTCTTTGTTCTCTTAAGATTCTCACTAACAACTATTGTTATGGTGATATTCTAGATCTAGTTGAGGAATTTTATCTGGATATTATTATGGTGATATTCTAGATCTAGTTGAGGAATTTTATCTGGATATTATTTACTGGGTGGCTTTTGGCCGGCTATTTATCGGAATTGTGCGAAATTCAATTGTAATGAAATTAACATTTTATTATGTTTAATGACTACGCGTACGAGTTTTGACAGATAAATTCCTTTAGGTAGTCTAGGAATCAAACTTGAGATTCATCTTTGCTAAAGTCAATTGTAAACTACTTAATTCCAAGTATCATTCCATTTTTAGTTTATATAAGTGCGAGGCTCTAAACAATCAAATTAGACTACACACCCAAAATTTTACTAGAAGAGGTTGGTTTGATGCCC